ATCCAAGCAAGTTCTGCATTAAATTTGGCAGCTCCATCTATTAGCAACTACTAAAAAATCAAACCTTGACAAAGTCGTGCTTCTATTCCAATTGGAAACAATATCAAGCTTTCTTCAAAGTTATTCTTTTTATGAGTTAAACTTGACTGTGCTCTAATTTTTTATATATCTTCTGTAGTCTTATTCGATTTTTATTTGAAGCTTTAGAATTTTCCTTCTTATGCTAACCTTTATAATGATAAGGTAAAACATGCATTTTGTGCATAATAATTGAATAAGTGGCTTCAGTTCCTTACCACTAGTTTGTAAGTTTAATTTGTTCGGTAGAAATGTTATCATGAAAGACCAATTTGCAACTACATACTGCTCAGAGAGATTATCTTTGCAGACATACACACCATAATTAAATAAGGCTCCATTTTTTCAGTCCGTTGAAGTTGTGTATGTGTCTATGATATGTGTGCAGCATGATGCTGTCATTCTCAAGTGTATATATATTGCATATCATGATTTGTTGACCATGATTGGTTATGACTTAAGATGAAGAAAAGTTTAACAAAGAATCAGGAGGGGGGATTAATTAAGATCTGGCTTTTCTAAATAATCTATATCCTCAGAAGTTATAGATGCTTGACATTAATGAACTCTTATGTCTGTGTTTTCAAATAATCTTTTGCTGCTAGGTGGATACGGATCAAGTAACAATGCTGGACAAGGTTCTCAATCTGAAGGAGATTCGTCAAACACAACTGTAATAGACTTTCTAGAGTAATTTATTACAGTTAGGAGATGAATTTGTTTTGTTTTGTCTTTCAATTATGAATCTATCTTTTAATTACTGCAGATTTTTGTTGGAGGGCTTGATCCTAGTGTCACAGATGAGGATCTTAGGCAACCTTTCTCCCAATATGGAGAGATAGTTTCTGTTAAAATTCCAGTAGGGAAAGGATGCGGATTTGTGCAATTTGCAAACAGGTAAGGCGTAGACAATGCTCTGAAACAAAATTTGATGATCTGAACTATCGGTAGATTGCTTACATTATAACTGTCGATTGTATCACCTGCAGAGGTCATGCTGAAGAGGCTTTGAATAAGCTGAACGGGTCAGTTATAGGAAAGCAAACTGTCCGTCTTTCATGGGGCCGCAACCCTGCAAACAAACAGGTATATTTTCTCTCCTGTCTCTGTTTGTTTCTTGTTTAGATTTCAGGTTTTTGTAATTCTATTTTCTGCCTTGAACTGTGATTCTATGCTAAATCACACTTCACTTATATGGATGGCAGTCAAGAGGTGATTATGGAAATCAGTGGAACGGAGGCTACTACGGAGGACACATATATGATGGTGGTTACGGATACTTACCACACCCCCATGACCCAAGCATGTATGCAGCAGCAGCAGCAGCTTATGGAGCCTACCCCGTGTACGGCAATCAGCAACAAGTAAGCTGATGACAAAGACACGGAAAGAAGAAGTAGCGCGCATGAGGAGAAGCCTCAAGATTATCGATAAGCGATACGTATCGCACTACCTAGGCATATTGTTTCATTCTTTGTAGTGTGAGCCTGTTGTGTAGAAATATTTATGAACCCCTCCCCCTCCTAATGTGGAGTGGAACTGAATTTTGATAACTCCCAAGGTAGTTTTTCTTACTAAGTTGCTTTTTTCCTATTATATTAGACATTCATTGAGGACAAGTTAAGAATGATATGGGGAACTTGCTCCTTAGAATATATGATGCTTGCATATCTTTATATGTTTGCTGGCTACTATACTGCTGGTCTGCTGCGATCGATTTCGGATATATTTTAGACATTCATTCAGCAGGAAAATTGCTGTTGCAAATTTGCAATAATGTTAGTGTTTGCATTCTTTGGTGATGATGCATAGATTTCAGCTGTGTTTTTGTTGGGAAAAAAAGATGAAATTTTTGTGGTCTGACTATCAATGATAGAAAAATTGTAATGTCAAGAATATTTGTTCTATAGCCTAAATATGTTTGTAGTACAAATAGGAATCTTTGAGAAATTTCCACGCCTAAAAGGGAAATGGTGACATCATATAGTATATTTTTGTATATAAAGAATCTATTTTAACAAGATATCTGACTCTTTCCTATAATAATAACCTGCTACTATTAAGGGAAATTTCTTACTTTTTGTTTTGATTAGCAAATACTATGTAACTGTATATGTAATTGTGAATGTTGTTAAGATTCTATTGATGCTGAAAGGAAATTCATCAAATCTGGCCCCTAAAAGAAAAAAAGACAAATTGTAAAAGCCCATCTAACGTTTACTAAACTATCAAAATTATCGAACGAACCAAATATGGAATGTGGCTCCTCCTTTTGATCTTCTCTACCTTTTTAGCATATTTCCTCACAATTTCATTAATTCAAAATAATCATTCTTTACAATAAATACACATATTTTTTCCTAACTTTTATAGATAGTAATTTTATCCCATCCTTAATCTCCATTTTTATTTCATATCAGAACAATTTATTGAAACATTGTGTAGGACTACCTTTCGACCCTACGGTTTCAATGTCAACAAATGACTCGATTTTGAACCCGCATGACTCCATTTTGATGGTCAATCTATGAACCTTACGACAGAGAAATTGTTCTATCAACTAAATCCGCATAGTGGGATTACATTACATACTTGTAAAACTTGATAAATTAACCTTTAATTAAAGGGGGTACTAAATGCAGGACTAGTTTTTCCTAAATGCAGAATAAATTATTTTTTTTAAAAAGTTTTTATTCCAATTTTGCCCTTATTATAATTTGATCTATTACACTCCCACCTATATAATCATCCGTAGTGTTTAATTTACAAACATATTTCAACATATTCAACTTTTCATCCTATTTAATATTCAATAATATACAAACTCATGGACAATAACGAAGTGCACTATGACGATTTTTTTGAGGTATGAATATTATATGCTGTAACTTTTTTTTTCCGCAAAATCTAATTTATCGATGAACAATCAAACAAGTTAAAATTTTCATCTTGCACAGAACATGAACGATATGAGTTTAGGGATCAACAATGACCCCCGGAAATCATAGCCGGGGGTCGACAACAACCCCCGGAAATCATAGCCGGGGGTCGACAATAACCTTCGGATATGATTTCCGAAGGTCGACATTAACCCCCGAAATTGATTTCCGGGGATAGATTATAACCCCCGGATATAATTTTCGGGGATCGACATAACCACCAAAAAAAAGATTTTCGGGGGTCGACAATGTCCCCCGGATATGATTTCCGGGGGTCAACTATTCTCCCAGAGTTTGTTTTCCGGGGGTTATTGTCGACCCCCGGATATGATTTTCGAGGTTTTAATTTTTAGGGCTTAATTATTATTATTATTATTAATTTTATTATTATTATTATTGTTATTATTATTATTATTAACTTTTGCACTTGTTTAAAATTTTTTTTTATTCTTAATCATTATTTTAATAGATAAGAATAATATTCTTCTAAGTGATGTTTAATTGAGATGATTTTTTGTCAAAACTATGGACAAGATTATCATTTTAAACCTGATGAGAACATTGAGAATTATCCTGATGTTGGCTATCTTTTTATGACGGACACATTATTTAATAATCGCCAAGAACTTTTAGAATGGGTGAAAGAAGTCGGCAAAAATAATGATATGTATTTTGCTATCAAAACTTCTCGTAGAGGGAATGGATTGGGATTTGGACGAGTTTATATTGGATGTGAAAGAAGTGGACCCTAAAGGTATAATGTTCCTTCACCCGACAAAAAATTCAAACCTAGATACAACACTAGTACAAAAAGGAATTGTTGTCCCTTTGAACTTCTTGGAGCTGAGCAAGTTGGGGGTAAATGGAAATTATTAGTTGATGTGAATAAAAGTAAACATAACCACACATTAGGTAAATTTAAGCAATGGCATACATCGGCTGCAAAATTGAGTACAGAAGAATTTGAGAAGGTTGCTCAATTTAAACGAAGCAACATGAAGCCAAAACAAATTTTAAAACAAATACAATTAGAAAACCCCAAAAATGTAAGTGGAAGGAGACACATCGATAATGCATTGCAAAAAATCAAAAGAAAACAAATGGGTGATTTATCTCCTATGCAATATTTTTTTTAAGTTATTGAAGGAATATGGGTATTATCAATGGCATAGAAAAGAGGATGGGACTAACGCTGTTGGGGATGTCTTATTTGCACATCCCAAAGCAGTTGATCTGCTTCGATTGTTCCCTTATGTTATTCTAATAGATGTTACGTATCGAACAAACATGTATGATGTGCCCTTGTTAGAGGTGATTGGAGTATCTTCAACGGGACAAAACTCTCATGTTGCATTTGGTTTCATGAGAAATGAAAAAACTACAAGTTTCTTATGGGCGATGCAAAGGGTAAAAGAATTATTTGGCTCTGAGAATAACCCTGGAGTAGTTGTCACAGATAGAGAGTGGGCTCTTATGAATGCTGTCGAACATGTATTTCCATCTTCTGCACATTTACTCTGCAAGAGGCATATCGCTAAAGACGTGGAGAGATATGTAACAGATGTAACGGGTAATAAAATATATGCAAAAGCTTTTTCAATTAGATGGAAAAAAATAGTCGATTCTTTAACAGAGGAAGAATACAATGTGGCTGTTGCTGAAATGGTATGTTCATGGAGTCCTAATTTATCGACAGTAGTTGATTATGTTCACAAAATATGGCTAGATCCTTATAAAAAGAGATTCGTATCCGCTTGGACCAAAAAAATTCTTCATTTTGGGGCTCGTACGACAAATAGGTAAATTTTATGATACAATTATAGTTTATGATTATTATAATACTGCAGATTTATATTTTACGATATAATTGTCATAATATATTTTTGTAGGGTGGAGAGCGCACACTCTCAATTGAAGAATTGGTTAGGAACGGCTACCGGAGCTTTTCATGTGATATTTCCAAGAATTCATGATTTAGTAGAGATGCGACTTAATGAAATCAAAGTTGAAATGGAAAAATCTCGTACAAAAAGTCTGCACATCACTAGATATCAGTTATTTAGTCGTCTTAAGTGTACGGTATCTCATCATGCTATCTCGTTATTAAAAAACGAATACAATGATAGATGTAAGAAAATAGGTACAAATGCTGAGGCTTGTGGATGTGAAATGAGGAACAACTATGGTTTACCGTGTGCTCATGAAATGTGTGAATTAATGAATACGTATACTCCAATTGATTTGTTAGATGTCCATATATTCTGGAAGACTTTGGACATGGAGGGACGGAATTTTCAGGAGAAACAGGGTTTACGACAAACATCTTCACAACGAATAGACGAATTAGTAGCAATGATGAAACAATACCCTCCTGATCAACAATACTTTTTTGCAAATGTTATGTATAATATACTGTTTCCTGAATCTACCAATTTGAAGCAGCCAATATATCGTCCCCACAAAGGTCGTCCAAAACATAATCCAACAAAGAAGGATAAATCTGGTTGGGAGCATTCCGAGAAGAATGCTACTACAGGTGAACTTAACAACTTTATTGTCACGGTGTCAAACATATTTTTCTTTAATTCTAATGTATCTACTTATATGCAGGATTGAAGAAAAAACAGAATTCGAATAAAGATTCTAAACAAGATGCTGACAAAAAATCAAAAGGTACATTTTTTTTAATTGTATAAATTTGATTAATTATGTAGTGCATTATTAGTTATCTTATATATATAATTATAATTTAAAATATATACAAAGCCGAAGAAGAAAAAGAGTGCAAAAGAAAGTCATATTGAATATGTACCAACTTCCCAAAATAAATCAAAAGGTACATTTTTTAATGGTCTATATTTGATTAACTATGTAGTGCATTATTTAGTTATCTCAAAAATAATTATAATTTATAACATATATAGAACCAAATAAGGAAAAGAGTGCAAAATAAAGTTGTACCGGAGATGTACCAACCTCCCAAAATAAATCAAAAGGTATTGACTGTTATTTTACTTTTATTAATAATAGTTCGTGTTGTTAACAAATGAAACATTCTAATTTAATATGTTATATTAAGGGCAAAAGAAAACAACAAAGTAAACTAGATATTCATTTCCATGGCCTTGTCAATTACCCGAATTCATATTGCCTTATGTTGAAGGACATATAAATGTGCGTGGTGATGGACACTGTGGTTTTCGAGTAATTGCCACTTTTGAGTATGGTGACGAAAATAAATGGCTTGATGTGCGGCGTGATTTACAAGATGAGTTAACCAAGCATGTGGAGTTACATAGAGATAGAGAAGTATTGGGAAGTATTCAAGAGTATAATAGAATGCTTAATGTGGTAAATTGTGACAAGTGTCCAGCTCCGTTTTAGAATTGGTATGATACACTAGGTTTGAGCATGGTAGTCGCTACTAGATATCAAAGAATTGTGACTAGTTGGTCAAAAAATCAACCTGTTACATTCTTACCATTGGAGACTCGATTGGTTGATCAACCGCCATCTATATACATCAATTTAGCTTACGTATGGAGTAATCATTATATTTCTCTCCACATGCCACCAAATATTCCTTTACCACCTATTTTTTCCTCTAACATCCATAATGGCTGCTCTGATGTGCAACAATGGGCTTCAACTATATTCAAGGATCAACTTGATTTATATCGTCAATTAAATGGTGATAAATAGACAATTTTATGGTTTTTGTTTTACAAATTTATGGAGGAAATTTGCTTATTGTTATTGAATTTATAAAGGATCTTACTTTTGTTCTTGTTATAATTTTTTATTTTATCCCACTTCCTTTTATTTGCTTCATATTTAGACTAAGTGTTTATAAATCAATCAAAATGATTATAACAAGTGTCAATTTTAGATATTAAACTTTGCATCTAATTTAAAATACATATGTGAAATAATATGATTATTGCAAGTGTTACTTTGCATATAGAAAAAAAAAATATGCCTATAAAACAAATGTTATCCCCTACGACTACCCCTCCTTGAATTACCACCTCCACCTCTTCTTCGATGATCATCTTGTAGTCTTGGCATCCAATCTTCTAAATGACGGGTTAAATCATCAAGGCATTGCCAAAATGTCACATCATCAGTTCGGTGTCGAATGTCTGGGTGGAGTGGGTAAGCTCTTGCACCTAAGTATTGCAGGCGCTGCAATTTTAAATAAATGTTATCGTACGACAATTTAGTCATAATAAATATAATAAAATTAAATAAAATAAAACTTACTGCAACTTCAGACATATCACATGGTTCTATTGGCATTGATGTTAATGCGACATCTCTATGAATTCGAATATGAGTGCGAGCTTGGTAATAGTCAAGATATCCTTCTACCATTTCAGTAGAAAAATTTGCTCTGTAAGAACCTGCTTCACCTACTCTAAAACAATGATTCATCCAAAAATCCCATGCACGAAGGTTCTCATCGTGTTTGCATTTATATTTGTTGTTCTCTTGTCCTCTATAACTAGTTTTGGGATGCAATAAACGTAGGGGTATAATTTGCACATATCCAAATTGTCTCAATACACGATCAGGCATATATGGCTCTGTAATATCCCTATAATGAATTACACCAGAATACAATGTGATCGGAAACGTCCGATGAGGATTTCTATCAAATGGAGTCCACACTACCTAAATTTTAAAAATAACAATATGAGAAAAAAAAAATGGTGAAGGATATAGTAAATATTTTCAATAGTACAGATATATATAATTGCTAACCTCATCAACTTTCATATTATCTAGTATGCGTCTATAAGACACCAAAGAATCAAGACCAACATTATGAACATGTGGAGGGATCCATTGTTGTGCATGCGGTAATCTTAAATCCCATTCCTTGTTCTTTTGGGGCCGAAATGTCGGAAAATAAGCATATATCCAAGCCTAAAAAAAAGTAATAGTATTTATTAACATTACCAATTTTGATATTAAAATGTAAGGAAATTTTTTATTTAATAATACCTAAAGGAGCGTTAAACATCCAGCAATTTGAGCATTGTCAAATCTGGAAGCTACCCCTAATTGACGATACATATATGTCAAACAAGCAGCACCCCAAGCATAATCTTTAACCTTTTCCAAATCAACCAAGTATGGTAGAAGATAAGGACTAACACTAGTAGATGACCTGTCTACAAAAATAGTACACCCTAACAACCACAACAAGTATCCAATAGCTTCTGATGACGAATGCAAATTATTTGATTAACAACACCCTTGTATAAATTTTAACCGCACACTCCCCCTACGATATTCATTATCCACCTCAGATGTTGATATATTAAGAGTGGTTTTTAGATGCTCTTTTAATTGGGAAACTACGGGTTTGCCAAAAACTGCTTGTCCGGTGATAGGAATACTTAAAATGTATGCAACATCATGTAGCGTTATTGTTAGCTCTCCGAAAGGTAGGTGAAATGAATTTGTTTCTGGATGCCACCTCTCCACAAAAGCAGATATTAACGGCATATTCAAATTAGAATACATACAATCAACCAGATGAAAAAGCTCACTAGGTATAATTAATGACTTCACCTCCTTATTACGAGGTTTCCACTTTTGTAAACGCTCACTTTGTTTGTGACCCTTCAATACATTTCGTTCCTATTCAAGTCACAAATAAAGTGTAAGAATTCAATATAAAATATGTATTTATCTATTACCAATTAAATTTTTGAAATGTAGATTGTAAAACAGATTAAACAAATACTACAAATTAAAAAATAAACTAACTACTTAGACTTACCCGACCATGCCAAATATAATATGCAACGTGACCACGAAAGCTCTTTAGCAATTCGGGATTTGTTGGGCCACCATCAACTGAATCTTGCAACTCACTATAGTCTTCAAGACAAACCTGTTTATCTCCTCCAAATCGCCCATGCACCTCAAAGTTACCTCGATAACTATTCATTCTTGAGCCAAATTGTTGTTTTGACAATGGCTCCTCCTCCTCCTCCTCCCCATCCTCCTCCTCCTCCTCCACATCCTCATGCTCCTCCTCCTCCTCATCCTCCTCATCATCATCATCGTCATCGTCATTGTCATCATCATCATTGGTTTGACTAGCATAAGCGGATTGTTGAATAGCTATTTCAAAGGAATCCAAATATTCTTGCTCCCCTTTATCTTGTGCAATGTATTCAGGTCTAACTTTAGGACTTTGTGTACCGATTGAGAGTTTGTTGGTCTTAACACGCTTAGCCCTATTGGATACTGTAGGACGTAATCGTGGAATAAGAATATCCTCATTGATATTAGAACTCTCTTTTAATCTCTTACTTTTTGAACCTCCACCTTTACAACCCTGCGACATCTACAAAAAATAAATAAATAATAATAATAATAATAATTAAATAATTATAATAATAAAAAAAATTATTATAATTCTTAGTAATTGAGTAATTATGCAAAAAATATAAATAACACATTATTTTTCATCTAACTTGATTCTCATTTCAACTACTTTGAGTATTAACCAATACAACCATTTAAAAAAGTGATCAATCCATTGAAGACTATGATGATTTGCATGCAAATTAAACTAGTAAACTCTAAGTTATAGTAGTAAGATAGTTAAACCACCACCACCAAGCTAAGAGGTAGTAGGACCACTCTAAGCTATAGCAAAGCTTGCTAGGTTGGTAAGAAGATAAAATATCACATTGTATATATCATAGTGTGGTAGATAAATTAGCAATACACTGATTTAATGTGATTGTATTTGTTGAAAGATTCTTCAGGTTTTATATCTTGGTTTAATAATATAGAGTTAGGCCAATTATGAAATAATTACTGCTCTTAGAACAGACACTGATATACATATGTAACAGAAACATGTTATAATACACTTGTACTTTGATACTCAGACGCTCAAAATTGCTGCCAAACTTTATCAGTCAAGACCAACTCCTAGATTAATATTATAGCAATGGTGACGTATGTAATACTTATTTCCGGGCACAATTTTATGAACATTAATCATACTCATACAATATTTGATACAAAAAATGTAATATGTAAAGTTCTTCATATACCTAAACACCCCGATTAGCAAAAACATGGGTAACATGCTTTAAAACTTTTTTAAAAAATGGGCATGCTAATAATCCATAAAATACAACAATACAACCTGAATTCAAATTCAATTTCTACCAAAGGAGTACACAACAGAGCTATGAGCAGAATTTAAAGAAAGTAAACCTTGTCTCTAACCGCATACAAAATTAATCCGAAGTAAACCGCATACATAATTAATCCGAATTCCATCATTCCCATTAAAGATGGGATTAATCAAACATCATATCCTAGAAACTAAGCATAATAATGGAGACCCTAACCCCAAAATTGTATTCAAAACCGGCCAAATTAGACCACAATAAGTCATTAATTAGCCCCTAAATCCAACCCATAAACAACATTCATATAATCATCAAAAAAATAGGAAAAAAATAAAAAGAAAGAATACCCATTTGTTAGCCGATGAACACATACCCAAAACTTTTTTTGATTTCAATTTCACAAGTTTATGGATGCACAATTGTTTATCTTAAGTGATATGAGTATATGATTGATTTGCTTTAAACATTCAAATCCAAGGAAATTGAGTTTGTGAAAAACGAAATCAATGGAGCAACTATTTATTAAGAACAATTAAACCATTTTATGAGAAAAATTACAACAATTCAAGAAAAAATTAAACAAAAAACAAACCTTAGACCAGATGGTTGTTGAATAGCGAATGAATTCTTTGTCTCTATGGCTAAAATTGATTAATTTGTTGAGGGATTAGGGATTAAAGAGGTAGAAATGGTGAATGAAAATGAATTGGAAAAACTAACGTCAAAATGAAAGTCAGTTTTTTATTTTTGGAAAAAGGGTATTTTTGTCTTTTTATGATTTGATATCATTAAATTATTTCTGCATTTAAGTTATTTTGTACTGTATTTAGTACTTGCGTTAATTAAATAAGGAAATTTTGTAAATTACCACCCAAAAAAAGTATCAATTTCTAAATAACCACCCGTTAAAAATTTTATTTTAAATTACCACCCACTAAATTAATTTTTTGTGCAGATTACCACCCTTTTTAAAATTCTAGTGGAATTCAGATGTGTGGGGCCCTCCTAACGGGTAGTTATTGCTTCCCAAATGAATTCCCTCCGATTTTTTCCTATATAACATATCTCCTACCCTAATTTGCAATTTATACCAAATTCTCCCCAAATTCCACAAAATTCACCCCAAGCATATCATCTTGTAATTGCAAAAGCGTCCTCAAGAAACTTCATAGGTGAATTCGCATCAGGTAAAGTCTTTCATTCTTTAAATTTGGGTGCTTATTGTACTTAAATTGGGGAAAACTGGTTGATTAGTTGATTAGGGTTGATTTTCTTCGCAAAGAAGGGTTCTTATTGTAATTTAATTGGGGGAAATTGAGTGTTTAGTTAATTAGGCTTCATGTACAATACTCAATTTTGGTATTCTGTCATTGAATTGCTGCTAATTCTGGGAAAATTGTAGTTGCAATTACTTTCAATTCGCAATCAAGTTTCAAGCAAAACCCCAATTAGACAGGAGTACCTTTATTTGTGAACTAAAACTAATTTAGGGTTTTAATCAGCAATTTAGGATCCTAATTTGAAGAGTGGGTGAGAAATTATGGAGATAGGTGGATTTGCGGAGAGAATTGAATGAGAGAGTTGAGAGAGGAGTAGTCTTCAATAGCTTAAAATAGGGAAATAGACAAAAAAAGAAAAAAAAATTAGGAGGGAAGTAACGACTGTGGGCCCCACACATCTGTATTCCACCGGAATTTAAAAAAAGGTGGTAATCTGCGCAAAAAATTAATTTAGTGGGTGGTAATTTAAAATAAAATTTTTAACGGGTGGTTATTTAGAAATTGATACTTTTTTTAGGTGGTAATTTACAAAATTTCCATTAAATAATGAGAATTAAAACCACATTTTAATAATCAATACTCCCTTCGTATTTTATTACTTGCTCACTTTCCTTTTGCTGTTTTATTTATTATTTTCTCAATTTCCTTTTTTTTTTTTTTGGTAACTTTAAACAATATTTTATTATTTTCTTCCCCACTGGTAGTGTAACACTCTAGAAATTCCTTTCCTTTAAATACCCATTCTACTCTTTAAAATACGATTTAGGAATAACTAAGACATCACCGCTACCGTGAAAACGGCTAAGGCAATTATCAAAGATACACAGTGGAAGACTCAAAATTAAAAAAAAAACCGTTTAAACAAGTCAACTCAAAAGTCAACCAAACGAAAATAAAGTTTAAATCCAAATGAACAAAGTCAAATAAAATCAAACTACAACTTGGAACCATTAAAGACCCTTATTCAAAAACCGTTCCAAAACCAAACCTTTGTGTTAGTCCACATAAAATATGTCATAAATAAATAAATCATAAAACACCTTGTAACCTAATGAAATCTAGTAAGATTAACTCTTCTCTCATACCCCATCATGATCATGCTTCAATACCTGAAAAGTTTATCTCTACTTGTTTCCACTACTCTCCATTAGAAATGGGTCATCATAGGGCCAAGGTAACGACATGGCCAAATACACAAACACACACAATCAGCAAAGCTGAGTACATAAGCGTAAATTAGGCACACTAACATGCTTTCACCTACCAACACACACTTACCTCATTGCACCTGTTCACAAGCACACACACCAATCAACAAGACACAATGACTAGACACTAATTAATTCATTTAGCGTTAATTAAGCATCGAACGAGTTTCCTCCTCCTAACCTCCCCCAAATAAATTGAGGTTAACTGACACGAGAGCTAACCGTGCCAGCGACAAAACCACTCAAAGGTGGCGGAATTCCTGAACATAATAATAAATAATAAAAAGGAATGTACAACGTGTTGTACTCCATTAAAAGTTATGGTTAAATATAAAACCCCATAAACCCCCCCATTGTTAATACTCAAGGTATATACGTTCCAAGAGTTTTGGTGCGTAATCTCTTTCACTTTACGTTATTTACATGTTATTGAACTTGGTGATGACTCTCAATCATAATAAATCCATCAACAATAATTATTCAATCAACCAAACATATAGATTTAATTCTTGAATAATTAGTGACCACATATTATTTAATGTTGAACCCTTTTTTTATTCTACCTCAGTGTCAAAGACACCTTAAACGCATAAAGCGCCAAAAATCCTATCCCTCGGTGTTAAAAACACCTTAAGTGCACAAAGGCACCAACATACAATTTATTCCTTGTGTACATAGACACTTATGTAGCTCCTTCCTCATGCTTAAAGCATCAATAAAATTTATTTGAACCATAATAAAATTCCTTTTCAATATTCCAAACATAATTAAACATGTAGTTTAATTAATCATGTCTTCTAACATGCCATAAATAAAAATGTGGTTCAAATACAACATGCCCAAAATATAATCTTCTAATCCATAACCATCACAAATAATTCATGCTTCACAATTCAATCACAAACAAAATAAATTCACAATTCCATACATAAACCTTAGCATGATCCTACTTGTAATTGATTGAAATCAAACCTAGAATGATTCTACATCATCAAAATATGCTAAGTACGCGTACCTACCTTGAGTATGTTATTAAAATTGCCACGACTAGTAGAAATTGCTTACTTCAAAGTCTCCTACACATTAAATCCATAATAGAGTATTAATATCCACTCTAAACAAATTTCCAGCAATATATACTATTTTAAAACCCCTCATAGTTTAATTAAAATAAGCTGAAATTATATTTAAAACACCATAATTAAGTCCCAATTAATGCGTAATTAAAATTTCTTCAAGAAACATAATATCAAGTGCTTTACATAAAATTCCAGCACTTTATTATAATTAAAACTTGCTGCAATTAAGTTTTAAAACACTTAAAACAAAGGCCTACCCTAGGGTTTCAAAAATTGGGGCTTTTTAATTAAAAACCAAATCTGAAAATTAATTAACACAATTACAATAACCAAACATCAAAATTAAATCTCCAAACTCATAATTTATAATTAGATTAAAGCCTAGAATAGTTTTGGGTAATAAAGATTTGATTTTTAAAAAGAAAAACCTTTTTTTTTCGAAAATAGCGGCTGCCGACAGCAGGCCGGCGCCACTGCCATTGGTCGTCGCTGCTGCCGGCTGGTGCTGGTGGTCGGCGGCCCATCGGTGGTGGTGGTGGCTGCCGGTGGTGGTGCCCACAAGAAGGGGGAAGGGAAGGAGAGAGAAAAAGAAAAAGAAAGAAGAAAATAAAGAGGAAAAGGGAGAAAAGTTTACCTTGGGTTTTCTCCACTCTGGGTTAAGTTGAATTGCCTCATAAGAGGGATATTTATACCCCTTCTCTATCACCCCTTTTACCCTAAACTTTCCTCCTTTAGTTTTTCCTAATCCCTTCCCTACTAAAACTTGTTAAAAATCATAATTTCTTAAAATAAAACCCCAACTTCTATTAATTAATTAATGAAACAAACTTTCCTTTAGTAAAATATTCCCGATTTACATGGGATAAATAATTAAAACATCATAATTAAAATGCTAGAATTATTTAAATACCCTTATAAAATATATATATTTTAGATAAAATACGTATAAAAATACGGGGTATTACAATCTACCCCCTTAAAACAAGTTTCGTCCCGAAACTTGGGAAACGAATTTCAAAACTTTTCCTTTTTATGTATAGTATTGCTGTACTTTTTGTCACTATTTTACTCCTTTGTGTCTCTTTGAGGGCACTAATACTTAAAACACTAAAGCACCAAAAAATATGTAAAACATAGGGAAAAAGCGCGAAACTCTAACGCATTCTACCCCCCTTACAGAAAACGAGTTACGCCCCCGTAACTCAACATACCTGAAACAGCTCTGGGTATTTCTTTTTCATTTCATCTTCTGCCTCCCAAGTGGCTTCCCCATATTCTTGGTTAGACCAAAGTACTTTCACAATGTTAACGTTCTTATTGCGTGTACTACGCACTTTACTGTCAAGAATCTTGACAGGTCTCTCTTCATAAGTTAAGCTTTGATCTAACTCAATGGTTTCGGGTTGTAGCACATGGGATTTATCAGGGATGTACCTTCGCAGTTGGGACACATGAAATACATCATGTACTTTACTAAGCTCCATAGGTAAGGCTAACCTATAAGCTACCTTGCCTATTCTTTGCAGTATTTCATATGGACCAATGTATTTTGGACTGAGCTTCCCTTTCTTTCCGAATCTCATCACTCCCTTCATTGGTGAGACCTTTAACAACACTTTATCACCAATTTCGAACTCTTCTTCCCTTCGCTTCGAGTCTGCATAGCTCTTTTGGCGATCTTGAGCTGCTTGAATTTTAGCTTGAATTTCCCTTACTTGTGTAACTGTGTCTTCAATCATTTGATGCCTTAGGATCATATTTTCACTAATGTCGTTCCAACAAATTGGACTACGACATTTCCTCCCATACAAAGCCTCAATTGGTGCCATTCCTATGCTTGCGTGGTAACTATTATTGTAGGAAAATTCAATTAAACCCAAACTATCTTCCCAACCTCCCTAGAAGTCTATTACACAAGCTCTCAACATGTCCTCCAAGGTTTGAATGGTTCTTTTAGTTTGTCCATCTGTGGCAGGGTGAAATGTCGTACTCATCTTAAGTATTGTACCAAAATTTTCTTGTACACTTTTCCAGAATTTTGGAGAAACCTGGAATCTCTGTCAGATACAATATCTTTTGGAACCCCATGCAACCTCACCACATGTTTGATGTAAGCTTTCGCAAGTTGCTCCATCTTCCAAGTTTCTTTCATTGGTATAAACACTGCTGATTTCGTAAGTCTATCCACCACTCCCAAATGGTATCATTTCCACTTCTTGACTTAGGTAGGCAAGTCACGAAATCCATTAAAATGCAATCCCACTTCCATCTTGGAATTTCTAGTGACTGCACCGTCCCTTGAGG